ATTCTATGATTCATTTCATAGGACTGACCTTCCTATAAGTTTTTTTTTGTTGGTTTTTTTTGTTTCTGTTTTTTTGGTCCACTTTTCCCAGAGGATTCAGTTTTTGTACTTTGAACCAAATGTTCCTGAACAATACATGCCTGTCTAATAACTGGGACATTGTAGGAACCCAATACACGGCAGCATTTATTATCAGCGGTGTACTCCTTTTAGAATATAGAGTCAAACACAAAATAGAGGGGCTGGTATACTTTACGATGGGTATTTTCTTTCTTCATATCTCCTGGGGGCAATTTTGTGTTCCAAGGAACATTTGGCAATATCTTAAGACATTCTTGGTTGTCACAGCTGGGGAGCTACTACGTAGGCATCTAGGGGGGGTTTAGCGGATGTTGCTAAACATTCTGCAATGCAAAGGACAGCACCCGCAGCAACAAAAATTTGGTTTAAAATGTCCATAGGACCAAGATTGAGAAAGCTTGCTTAGCAGGACAGCATACTGTAATTTCCTGAGAGTAAGTGGCATTATTTGGAGTAATTAATACTTGTGTTTAGAATCAGTTAATTTACTCCTGGGAGGGGTTGTGGGGAAGAAATGAATCAAGATAGTGATTACCACAAAAGTTATTAAGATTTTACAATCTTTCTCAGCAATGTGCCTACCAATACCTAATCAATGTGCTTAGGTTATTTGTTGTCCTGAGTCTTTGATGATTTCTTCATGAGTCAGCAGTGTCCTTCCTCGTCTTCTTAGCAGTATATCATCAATTTCTTTGAAGAAACCTCTCATCCTTGAATGTGCTACCACATCTCTAATGAGTCTTTGGCATCAATTGTTTTCCCTGTGGGAAATGACCTAATCAATAAAATCAGTATATATAAAACCAACAAAAAGGTGGGGGAGGGGGGAGGCGGCACAGGGAGGGAAGAAAAAGTGTAAGGGAAAACCTATTAGCATCTTAACCAACCAAATGTTCTTTCCCATTCCTAGTAATCTGTTCCCTACTTTACTTTCTTTGTAGCTGAATTGTCCATCAGCAATACATGGTTTGGATAATGATGAGGATAATGAGATGAACTTCAAGATGAGTTACAAAGTGAAGAATTAATCAGAGAAAAAAACAAGGCCTTCACTTTGAAAGGGATTGCTTTGGCTGGTATGATAAAGAAGCTTAATTCATTTGGCTGTTGCCTGGTAACTAAGGATCTTTATTAAAGATGAGCCTCAGGCGCAAATTCCAGTTCCTGCTACGAAGAGAGAAAGGTTTTATATTTTGGGTTCTCTTGCCTAAGGTAGTTTTTAAAATATATAATTACTATGTTATCTGCCTATAGTGATCTACAATTTACATAATAAAGAGGTCCTTAAGGGCTGTTCCTGATGGATTTAACAAAACTCTGACATTTTTTAAATGATCCACTCAATAGAGAAACATTCAATGAAATGGCAGGATAAAAATAGCTTTAAATAATCTCTAACTGCCACTGAATATTTTCATTACTAGGATGTTTATTACTTTGACTCTCTTTTAAATTGTAAAGTCATTTTAATTCCCTCAAACAAAAAGCCCAGGCTTGCAAAATATTTGGCTATTTTCTGAGCTAACTATATCCAAATGAATATTTTAACTGAAGTGATGTGCTACCTACAAACTCAAGAATGTATGAAAGCGATCCCACATCTCCTGTCACTATTAATGATGATAGACAATGACAAAAGAATATTTCCTGGAGATAGAGCTCATTAGAGCTACTTAAGCTGTAATAACGTGAGGAGTATCAATACAATTCTCCATCCTAGGGCCGGACTATAGTTTAAAAAAAAACTGAACAAATTCCTATGCACACTGCACATATCTTATTTTGAAGTAAAAAAACAAAACAGGAACAAATACAATATTTGTATTTGCATGTGGCCCGCGGGCCGTAGTTTGAGGACCCCTGATCTAGATTATTTGTATTTAGTGGCCTTCTCAAAAAGATATACTGGAAAGAGGAGGGTGGAACTAACTCTTTATCACCTCTAACTCGAACTCACTAGTGGTTTGATTTGGGGAAGTTACTAAAGCTCTCTGAACGTCATCTATAAAATGGGAACAAAAATGTACAAATAATAATGCCTATCCTATTTTTAGTCTATAATTACTGCTAAATTCAAAAAAGAATATGATGTTTTTAAGTTGTACCAAGGTAAATTGTTGTAGATAGTAACAGTCACAGGTTAAAAAAAGAATACAAACATAGATGCATGGCTAATTCACCTGTTTTCACCGAACTATATTTTAGTAATTGTAGTCCTAAACTATATTACCACTGGCATGCTGTAATTTTTAGTGGTTGCCTTCCACTATATCATGAGTTTTGGAACCAAAAATCTTAGGTTAAATCACAAATCTGTCACATATAAATCACAAATCTCTACCTATAAAATATAGAGAATGTTGCAGAGAAATCAAATGATATAAAGAATGTAAAGTGCTAACAATAGTGACCACTGAATTCATGTTGGGGTTTTGCAATGATTCTGCCTACTCAGAAGTATCTCTAATTCTATTTTCTTCCACTTACCAGTGCCCTAATGCCGTGAACGGACAATACTCAAACAACAAGTAATAGTGATCATAGTCATGTTGCTACTAAAAAGAAAATATCAACAGGTAAACTTGTTTACTAAATTCTAATATTTGTCCTGATTCATTGCTTTTCTTTTAAAGTTCCTGTCTGGCCAACATTCTGACTCTACTACCAGAACCCACAATTAATTTAGCTTGCAATAATACTAAGCAGTACCCCAAAATTATTTCTTTAGCAAGAAAAAAAATGCCACAAATGCCCACCATAGTTGAACATATCCAAGCATTATTCCTTGAAATCTTGCAGAATCAGACTAAACATAACAGCTGAGGCCCAAAAAAACCCACTTTCTCCATGGAATGTTCCATTTTGGTTGGGGCTTGGGTTTCTACTGTACAATATTTGGCTTTGTTTTACTAACCACATGCTATCTGTTGCCATCCTCTCTCTTGAATCCACCCACAGACATTTGAATGCTTCCATTAATAGTAAACCACCAGCTTCAATGCAAGCACAGCAATAATTACACAGCCAGTTCTGCATCTTAGGACTCTATAAAAAAGAAATTAATGGGTCTTCAAAATATAACTTTTTCACTCTTAGGGTTTTTTAATTTTTTTATTTATTGATTGATTTTAGAGAGAGAGGATGGGAGAGAAGGGAGTGAGAGAGTGCCATAATGTGTTATTCCACTTATTTATGCATTAATTGATTGATTCTTGTATGTGCCCTGACCGGGAATTGAACCTGCAACCTTGGTGTGTTGGGATGATGCTCTAACCAACTGAGCTACCCGGCCAGGGCTTCACACATAGGGTTTTAATCAACATTGTTACTTTTACATAAGCCATTAAAGCAAGCACATTGATCAAGCCTTTTTGTGTGTGCCTCAACATGATTGTGACCAAATTACTGCCAAAGGCTCTCTGATCTATGTCAAATACAAATTAGAGACTACATGAATATATAATAGGACCACCACTGGAGTAGGAGAGTTCAGAGAGACTTTATGCTAATTAAGACTATCATTAGCTGAACATTTACTATTAGTTGGCACTATGCTAATCCCTCCTAATGTGTAATTCTGATGTGAAATTATTCAGCATTTATAACAATCTAACCAAGTGGCTATACTTTCCAATTTTAAAAATGGAGAAACCAAGTTAATGGAGATTAAAAGTGACTTTCCTTAGTCAATTTTGAAATAAAGATTTGAATCCAGGTAGTCCAATTGCAAAAAGAATGCCCTTAGTCTTTGAGATAAATTGTTTCTCAAAGGCATAAAGGATACATGGAAATGATCAGGTCCAATTTTCATATGTATATCTTAATATTTCTGGATTTATGTGGTTTTTCTCTAATTTCTCTGTCAAATCAGCAGTTTTTGGTAATACTGTAAGATGCTGCTTTGAAAATAAAGGCATCCTGCCTGGCCGCATTGGCTCAGTGGTTGAGCATTGACCTATGAACCAGGAGATTATGGTTCAATTTCCAGCCAGGGTACATGCCCGGGTTGCAGGCTCGATCCCTAGTGTGGGGCATGCAAGAGGCAGCCAATCAATGATTCTCTCTGTCCCTCTCCCTTCCTCTCTGAAATAGATATAATTATTTATTTATTTTTTTTTAAAGAAAGGCATCCAATACCAGAACCAGCTGCAAACAGGATTCTGTTTGTGGCTAAGTAGTGAACTTCATGTCAATGAAAAGACTCAGAAGGGCAACTTCCCAGAGCTGTGGCAAGAGAGGAGGTCCTGCCTTCACTTCAGAAGAGAAACAAACAAACTCAGTGTCCCCTTCCACCTCCAAGATTTCAATGAGAATATGAACACAATTTATTAAAAGCCATCCCGGAAGTTTGCAGTGTTCTGGCTTAAAGCTGAATTCTTTTTTTATTCTATTGGGAAATATTTTCTTTTATGAGGCTCCCAAACTCTTGGATAACCTTTGTTTTAGCTGCTATGGTGAAATAAACTGCATACCAGCAGTGAGCACAATGCAGCATGCCACATCCTAACTTTTCTAGTGGTGCTGATGCCCAAGGAAAGTTGTGAACACTTCCAGTAGACCAATAGGACCTCGCTAATACTGTCTCCCCCAAGTCCTTCCTTTTAAATCCGTCTCCCACCACCTCCCCTTGGAGAGCCCATGCTGTTTTTTTCAACATAATTCTAAAGCCTGCCATTTCCCCTGCCTCCTTATTATCCTTTATGCTTATCCTCCCTGTAAAATTTGATTAAATTTTAATTAATTTAATAACATTTAAAATTTGGGTAGTGATCCTTTTATAAAAAGTCATGCTGTATGATCTAGCCAGAAGAATTAGAAAGGGAAATGATGTATTTCCAATCTATTATACAATTTTAGAAAGGCCAAGGCAAACTTGGGAGCTGGCAGAAAGCCAATGTAAAGGGGAAAAAAAACAAAACAAAAGAATCTCTAAGGTGACTTTGATAGTACACAGATGATCTCCCATCACTAAATCCATGTAGGTTTGAGGTTAGTCCTGGAGAAGATCAAAAGCAGAGTCTCAGGCAAGGAATAGCTAAAACCACCATGCTTGCAAGATTCGAAGTCACCCCTGCACAGACTGTAAATATCGCACTGACAACAGTGAAATTCCACGAATCCAGTGAAATCAGCCTATCACTTATTTAAGTTGAAACGATTACTCGTCTGGAATGGTTTCAAGCTCCATAGTGAATGGTTAATAGAGTTCATTTTGGATTCACACCTTCCTGCCCTCAAGTCTCAGCTTAGCTGCTAGGCAAGTCATCTAACCTTCCGGGCCTCTTTCTACTCCTATATGCCACTGGAATAATTGTACTTGTTTCATGAGACTATTGTAAAAATCAAACGGGAAAGTTCATGTCAAGTGTTTAGCACAGTGTTTATTGTACTCAATACATCAATAAGTTTGAGAAGTAACTACTACTTAATCTCTCTGAGTCTCCAGGTCCATTTGGGTAGAATGGGCATCATAATAGGACCTGCCGCAGAAGGCTGTTGTGAGGATTTTATGGCACACAGTAAGAGCTATGACTGCACTGCTGCTGCTGTTATTGATATTAACATTACTCTTTCAAGTACATTGAGCCCTCCATTGTATGCTGGGCTGGGGCCCTTTCCAGACTGGGTACATATCAGGTCCCCAAAGCTGTTGTCTGATAGGCATGTTGTATGAGTCTATCCTTGAAAGATTCTCTAGATAGGAAATAATCTGGAGCCAATCCAGATATATAATCTTGAACTTGAGCAGTATCCAATCTAATTTTCCTTTCAGTACTGGCCTTCACTGAGGAGCAACTCTGCACTAGCTGAGGGCAGGACTATGCCAGCCTTTATCATCTGCAGTGTGGCTAGGACTGGAGGGGAGAGGGAACTGCTTTTGTCTAAGATTACTGGCTGCATGTCAGGAAGTAGGGAGGGGAGACAGGTTAGGATCGACTCACTTCTATAAGAAAAATGTTTTAATTACAATTCTTTATGAATTAATTTATATTTATTCTCATTTAATCTCAAAACAACAACTCTGAAAGATAGATTTGTGAAAGGTATTTCCTATAGAATTGAAATAAAAATTTGAAGGGTTAAGATATCACCCAAACAGTCATAGGCTGTAAGTGGTCAGCATGGTACCAGTTGTCTTTCAACTATATCATCATATATTCTGCATTTGAATTTTGATCTCTTAGAACTGTTCTCACGATGAATATATAATGTATTTGCAAGCACCAAGCTCAGGACCTGAAATTAGAAAAACTCGTAGATTATGAGCTAAATCTAAATCTAAGTGGCTAAAGAAAAAGTAGGTTAGACTAATGTTTAGTTAAACAAAAGGCTCTCAAATGAAGAGTTCTATTTACCTACATTTTCCAGTTAACTAAAGATTAACCAGAAAATTTTTATTTATTTATTTTTAAAACAAATATTTTTTATCTGAAACTTATTTTTATTTGTCTTAATAATGAGTCATCTGCCTTCCTGCCTTAAGAAGTCAACTTCAGTGCATTTTTTTTCTTCTTTAGCTTGAAGCTTTAGCTCTGGCTGTGTTGCTCAGTTGGTTGGGCATCATGCCATGCACCTAAAGGTTGCCAGTTCTATTCCTGATCTATGCACATGCCCAGTTTGTGGGCTCCATCCTCGGTAGGGGGTGTGCAAGAGGCAGTTGATTGATGTTCCCCTCTTACATCGGTGTTTTTCTCTCTCTCCTTTTCTCTCTCTTTCTAAAAATCAATTTTTTAAAAATGAAAAAAGAAAAGCTTCAAGTTTTAGTTTGTTGTTTCTGGGAATTAATATTTCTGAATTTCTTTGCCCCAAATTATTTATGTAGAAAGGATAAAAGGTGAGCTAGTGTCAACAGGCCCTAAGGTATGTCTTTTTAAAAATACATATATATTATTGATTTTTTACAGAGAGGAAGGGAGAGGGATAGAGAGTTAGAAACATCCATGAGAGAGAAACATCGATCAGTTGCCTCCTGCACACCTCCCACCGGGGATGTGCCTGCAAGCAAGGTACATGCCTTGACCAGAATCAAACCTGGGACCCTTCCGTCTGCAGGCCGTCACTCTATCCACTGAGCCAAACCAGTTAGGGCTCTTTTTTTTTTTTTTTTTTAACAAATTTCTGAAATACAGTAAGTCCTCACTCAACATCATTGATAGGCTCTGTGACTTTAAGTGAAATGACATTTAACAAAACAAATGTTTCCATAAGCTAATTGATATAAATAAGAGTTAAAGAGGGGGTAATTTAGGAAGCAAGAAAAAGAGGAACATGTCTGCCTCTGAAACACCAAAGAGGAAAGAAAGGATGGGTGTAAACCTATCCAAAAGTCCAGAAGAGTTGGGAAGGAAGTTGAGAGAGTTTGTGTCTGAAAGCCACAATTAATTTTATCAGCAGTGTAAACATTCTAGACAGTCTTGGCACCAACACACACTGGAAGCTGGGGAGTTGACGGAAATTATTTTTTAAGACTTTAGACAAAAAGGGCGGGGGGAGCTAATTGCCTGGCTTACTTAATAAGGCCATGAGATCTGACAAATATCAAAATGATTAAGAAAGGCTGGAGAGAGGGGAGAGAGATAAAGGGAGATGGTTAGGGCAGGGGTGAGAGGGGGAGGCAGAAGAGAAAAAAAAGAGATGAGAAAAGAGAGAGAGGAAGGAAGAGAAAGAGGAGGGGAAGGTGGCTAGGGGGAAGAAGAGTAAAGGGGTAGAGAAAAGAGAAGCTGCAGAAAGAAAGAAACAAGATACCATCTCAGACCATTGAAATGCCTCTTTTGTGCTGATATTCCTAGAAAGGGGAAACCATACAGAGATTTAAACTCTTTAAGGTTCTGGTTGACCAGCTGGCTTTCAACCAATGATAACTCTAGGCCAGAGGCTTGGTGAAAGCTAATGCAAACAGGTGAGTTTAGAACACAGAAGTAAATATATTTCCAGGATGGAAAGTTGTAGAGTATTTCACAGGGGAAATCCTGAAAAATGTTGCTTGTAGTTGCATTGCACATTTTTTATAAAGACCAGGGGAGGGGAAAAATGATAAGGCATATTTTTTTCTATCTTTTCACTACAAATAAACCCATACACAGCGAATGCATCATTCTGAGTAGATATGAAACAGTTTCTGTGCTGCAATGTTTTTGTTTGTTTGTTTGTTTTTCCTTTCATGTGTGCTCTGGCCTAAAGCAGATCCCAAGGTGGTCCTAGTCCATTTGACAACTGCCTTTTACTTCACACCCTGTCCCAGGAAAAGACTGTTCTTGCAGAAGTTCCTCAGTGCTCCTTTGAGGAACTGCTTCTCCTCCCCTTTCCAAGACCCCCAGCTCCCCTGAACAGTAATCTCAGGTCCAGAGACTCCCAGAATAGGGTCTCTCCCATCTTCCTTATATTTGGGCTTTTGCTCTGTGACTTGTAAAAGTACTGTGAGCTGTTACAAGTGTTGGTTGTATTTTCAAGGGAGCCCAGTACCATGGTTTTAAATACAGGGTTACCATGATAAGCAGTTTCTAACCATCAAGCATCTTTTGAACATATTATTGTGGCAAGGATTGGAGTCAACATAGTATAGTCAAAGGATCAAACTAGATGAGTTGTGGAATCAAATACGTTTAGGTTTGAACTCACTTTCTGGCTACATGGCCTTAGGCAATTGAGCAAAAAGTTCTCAGAGCCTCGGTTTCTGTGTCTGTAAAATGCTGCCAACAATACTATCTCAGAGAATTGTTGTGAGGATATAAATCAAATAAAGGGATTGAGTATTGTAGTGACTTGCATAGTGCCCCCCCCCCCAAAAAAAATCATGACCACCTAGAACCCCAGATTGTGACCTTAGTTGAAAACAGGGTCTTCAAGGATATAACTGAATTAAGATGAGACCATACTGGATTAGGGGTAGGCCCTATATTCACTGACTAGTGTCCTTATAAGAAGAGGAGAGGAGGCCTAGAAATGAAGAGAAGAATGCCATGTGAAGATAGAGGAAGGTGGAAAGTAGTTTTATGCTGCTACAGGTCAAACTGTGCCTGGCCACCAGAAGCTGGACAAAGAAAGATAGGGTTCTTCCCCGAGGCATTTAGAGTAAGCATGGCCCTGCCAACACCTTGATTTCAGATGTCCAGCATCTAGAACTCTGAAGGAATACGTTTTTGTTGTTTTAAGCCATCAAATTTGAGGTCAATTTTTTTATCTTCACCTAAGGATATATTTTATTAACTTTAGAGAGAAAGGAATGGAAAGAGAGAGAGAGAGAGAGAGAGAGAGAGAGAGAGACATTGATGTGAGAGAAAAACATCGATTAGTTGCCTCATGTACACATCTGGACCAGGATTGGAACCCGTGACCTAGATATGTGCTCTGACTGAGAATTGAGCCACAGCCTTTGGGTGTACAGACAACGCTGTGGTAATTTTTTATGGCAGTCCTAGAAAACTAATACAAGTGTATAAGAAGTGCTCAATGAAAGTCAGCTCAGCATCAGATGGGTTCCCCCCCATATTCTGGTGACTACCTTGAAGTCCTTGGATTGGTAACATAACCTGGTCCTATTTGACCACCTTTAACCCCTCCAGGTCTCATTTTAGCCATGTATTTACCTTCTTATTCTCCAGACCTGGGCTAAGGTGTATTCTGCATGTTCTCCTATAAGCTCTGCCGCAGGCTGTGTGTGTGTCCCCACTTACTTCTTGACCCAGCCAATCCAACGTATTCATTCATTCCATACACATTAACTAAACATTTACTATGAACCACTTAGTATAAAGAACTGGCTGTAAAGCAGTGAATAAAAGAAAGCCCCTCTTATAAAATAAACTTTTTGGTGAGAGGAGAAAAAAAGATAAACAAGTTAGGCAAGTGAATATATAATATGTCAGGTGGTATTAATTGAGTGCTATGAACAATAAGCCAGGATGGGGATATAGAAAGCTGGGGTGGGATATACAGTGGGTCAGAAAAGTTCTCTCTGACAAGGTAGTATTTTAATATTATCCTAAATGAAGCAAGAAAGTAATGAAGTCCTTCCGACACATGGGAGGTAAGGTGAAAGAAGAAATGAGGACTCAGTTACCTACAGCGTTGTGCGCCGTGAGTTGGACATGGGCGTCTGCACTGAATGACATAAGAAACCTTTGGATGACTCAGAATAGAAGAGACCATGATCTGTCTTATATTTTTAAAGGATCCCTCTGGCTACTGTTTGAAGAATAGGTTTTAAAAGGGTAATTGGAAACAAGATCAGTTAGGTTGTAAGTCCAAACTAAATGTGATTTTTCCCTTCTCACTCTTTCTCCAGAGCTGTGATACAAGCAGGTGGAAGTGATAAGACATTACTGGAGTCTGTTGATATTTTGCAGATAAAGCCAATTTCATGAATTAATGTAGTTTCTAAGAGGAAGAGAAATCAAGGAACATGCCAAGTGTTTTACTGAGCTAGGGAAGATGAAGACGTTGGGAGCGGAGAAAGGAGGTGGATTAAATGTGTGGCATCCAGCAAGCTGTGAATACAGAACTGATGAATTTCCTTCCCTTCCCCTGAAATCATGACTTAGCTCTCAGCTGGTGGACTCCAAAGGCATCAAGCAATGCAAAGGGAACTCACCAAGTTTATAAAAACTGGGAAGCCATGCTGTGCTTTCCTTGAAACACTGTCTTAAATCTATTTTTAACTTTTTTAAGTTACGCTATCATGTGGCCATTTACAACAGCAAATACACGATGCTCCAACCAAACAAAAACTCAGCAAGAATCAGAGTGCCTGGTTTTTCCTGGCTGGTTGACCCCCGCCTCACGTGCAGGAGCTGTCAGATCACGCTGGCAGACCATTTCAAATGCGGGTGGACTTCCCAAAATCCACCAAGCCAACCCAGGCCTGTGAGGACAGCACTTACGGAAGTGGCAGGGCCAAGGTGCTGAGTACCAATCAGGGCATCTTGGGTTGCTACTGAATTCTTTTAATCTGCTACTTTGAAACAACGAGGCTCAGAAGCTACCTCTTGTCCAAATTTGCCAACCCCTTTTGCCTGACAAAGCAGTCAGTATGAAGAGCATAAGCAATTAAGAAGTAAGGCATTACCACTCTAGCCGGTTTGGCTAAGTAGATAGAGCATCGGCCTGCGGACCAAAGGTTCTCAGGTTCATTTCCGGTCAAGGGCACATATCTTGGTTACCAGGTCTGGGCTCTGGTCCGGGCGCGTGCAGGAGGCAACCAATCTTTGTGTTTCTCTCACATCGATGTTTCTCTGTGTCTTTCCCTCTCTCTTCTACTCTCCCTAAAAATCGATGGAAAAATATCCTCGGGTGAGGATTAACAAAAACAAAAAACATTACCCACTTGTGGGAAAGCTGAAGGCGGGGGGGGGGTGGATTTCAGAGCATGATTCTTCACACCAACTCTGTCTTTAGTGGACGGTTGCTTCAACCATGAGCAATTCTTTGGGGAAGCAGGGCTAGCAGTATAAGGTCCTAGGTAGTAACCTTTTATGAATCCCCCTGCCAAAAAAAAAAAAAAAATGGATAGAGAACTAGGGACTGCTTAGAAACATATGTTCTTCAGGGAGTCTTGCAAGACTTGCTCTAAACTCTGAGCCAACACAGCTGTAAGGGGAGCAGAGGTCAAGACTTCACAGAAAGCCAGATGCTGCAGTGAGCACATATTGTTTTACAGACACATGTGTGTATGGATATGTGTGGTGTATAAATATATACATCGACATGTGTGTGTATACACTGGCAAACCCCCCTCCCTGCTTCCCATCCTTTTAGGTAAACTGAAGGAGGAAGGGAGGATTTCCTGTGAAAACAATGTGTAACCCTGCCCATCTGATTAATGTGTTTGGCTGGATTCAGTGTAACCAAATGAAAAGGAGGAGTGGGAAGAAAATGTAGTGAGTGATAAGACAACTTCCCAGAGGGTATTCACTCAAACTCAACTCAATCCCTAAATACTGTGGGGTTTTTTTTGCACTGTTCAATCTCAATCAGTTCAATTCCTAAGTACTATGTTTTGCCCTGTTAGATACTATGTGGGAGGTAGAAATCTTGACAAGAGCAGTTACTCCTATCTATTTACAAGCAGTGTAACCTTGGGAAAGGTTCTTAACTTCTCTGGTGAGATAACTGAGTGGGAACATCGCTCTATTCTACCCTCCAATACACTAGATTCTACCCACAGAGCTACCCATCGTATGCTATGGTAGAAAGAGCAATGAGCTGGATTCCAGCCCCAACTCTGCCACTCATTTACTGTGTTACTGTGGCCAGTTCATCTTACCCTGCATGTCCTCCCCCAAAATGATCCCCCGAAAGAGATGACTATGGAATGATATGATTGGATTAAAGAAGGTTCACAAAGTAACTGCCTATAAAAGAACTGAGTGGGTTCCAAGTATTCTAACAGGGAGGCAGCTGCACTCCACCTTTGTCCCACTATTGCCATGGACAATGTTACTGATTTGTATCACATGGCTCCACGGTCTCCATGTATGTATGTTTGTACCATGTCAAAATAGAAGGCTTTTACTATTCTTTACTCATCTACCCTTGCAGAACCCAGTGTAGCAGATAAGGAAAGAATCAACCTCTTTTGACACCTGCCCCCATAGTTCATTAAACCATATCCCAGGTTGGAAACATTTAACTGTATGATGCATTTAGCTGTGAGCCTTGGTAGATGGGAAGTAAATGTTCTCTTTGACTGTCTTATCCTTCTCTTTAAGTTCTTTAAAATGAGAAAAGGAGCTTCAGCAGCTTCTCTATAGGACTTTTTTAATTGCTGTAAGAAATTCTTACCCCAATTTAGTGGGATCACATGACCACAATGGAAGCTCATTTCTTAATCATGCAACACTATGTAAGTGTTCCTGGTGGGCAAGTGGGCTTCCACAAGATCCAGAAACCTATAATTGATCCATCTTGAGGCTAATTTGTCAGATAGGGGCTCAGAACCTTCTGCATTCACTTGGGAAGGTGGGAAGAGCAGGTGGAGAAGGGGTATCTACTTCTCAATTGCCCTGGCCTGCGCCATGGCACATCCCATTCCATTGGTAAGGATTAGTCACTTGGCATCATCCACATACAAAGGGAGACTGGAAAAGCTACTTCCTGGATGTGCATGCAATTTCTAGTAACAAATCTAAAGGTTAAAGTGGAAGCATGGATCTTTGATGATCAGTTAGTGTCTGCCACAGAATTCAACTTATATTTGATATAAGCAAGCTCGTGTGCATGCACATGAATACACATCTCACATAGGATCTTTTATATATTTTTTCAACCACATATCGCAACGGCAAAAAGCAATGTGTTTTATTTCACAGGCAACCTATAAAACCTTGAAGATCATCCAAATCTATAATTATCTGATAAACCCTTTTCCTCAATTCAAGATACAACAATATGTTCACATCTGTTGTAGATTTTGTTATTGGCCTTGATTCATCATGCCTTTGCCCTATCACTTTCTGTTCCTCTACTGGAGGAATATACCCTCTTGCCCCCTCATTTTGAGCTCAGCCATGTAACTTCTTCGGCTAATAGCATGTTAGAAAACATGACACAAGCAAGGGCTTAAAATGTACTTGTGCATTTGAATATTGCCTCTGCCACCACCATTCAAAGAACAAGCCACAGTCTGATGGTCCAAGAAGGATGTAGAACAGAGCTGCTGCACTTACCCAGAGATCTGCAGGGAGAAGTAGAGTGGCCCAACTGAACTTAGCCTAGCTCAGCTGCACTCTAGTGAGCTCATCGCTTACTGTTAAATGCTACTGGAAAACCATGATTATTTGTTACCCAACATTATTGTGGCAATAGCTAATGGATGCAATGTATTTCTGTTTTTAAAGTTTTGCTCAAGAGCCAACATTTTCATATTACAAAATTATTACTTTTTTTCCCCTTCTGGAGTCATTCTGCACTACCAATTTTCCAAGAATATCTGAATTTATGTTGCTTAAATGGTGGCTGCTTAATTGTCCTTCCAAATGCAAGTAATGAGAGAATCAGAGAGTGAGAATAGTCCATTATTGCTACTGTTGGTTACTGCCATTAGATGTAGCTGTTGAACATAGTCCAATGCAATATAAATATTTTTAATAGCACTGCTGGTGTAAATTCCTGTACTGACCATATGAGTCATGAGGTTTAGGTTTTTAAGAATGGTAACGTTTATTCATACTTACCACCTTAGCCATTGTTCTCAAACATACCTTTATATCAACATGGCTACAACCTCAGTACATCTATATATATATATATTGATCAACGAAGGAGCTGTCGTGACACTGTGGACCTGGTACCCACAAAGTAAAAAACTCACTTCCCCCAAGTGGTACACAGGCCCCGCCAAAACCCTGGAGTGATAGCTCACCAAATTGCAGCTGATGCTGCTGAGACCCCATGGCTCAAAATGTGGCCCACAGCCCAGCCCAGCCCAGAAACGGTGGCTGTGGGCACCAGATAATGATGTCGCGTAGCAACGCCCAGCTTACTCTCCCTAGTGACTAGCCTCCGTGAAGTTTCTTCAGCCCAGGAACATGACTTGCTTTATAGTCAGGTGGAAACATTTTACACATTAACCAAATGTCTGAAGTGTTTTCCCATGCCTCATCTCATTTGATCCTCACAGAAGTCCTGGAGTAGATAGATAGGGGACTCAGTGGAATCCTATCTTCTTTTCATTAGCCAAAAAATGAAGATTTACAAAGCTTAGAAACTTGACCTGACTGAAAAGAAGAAATGGTGGACCTTGAAAATGACTTCAGGTTTTCTCACTGTGCAGATATAGTCAAACACTGCTGCAGTTACATATTTTACCCTTTGTTCTCCCTGTATGATCTACAATAATAATCTGCTTTCTGTTGATATTTACTGCTCTGTTGCTGACAATTACCTGAAAGAGAAGTCGGGGTGCTTCACTGGGCTGGAAAAAGTTTAGCCAAATTAGAAAGCAGGGCTAATTAAGCAAGTTTATTTTATATCTATAAAGGCTAAGTTGACTTGCACATGCACGATACATATAAAGCTCTTGCTGGTGCCAATCGCACGCGTCTGTTTCGATCTGTCATTTAAGATCATGAATTTGGTTGACACTTCTATTATAGAGAAAGGGTGAATAGCGATATTAAAATATTTCTTTTAATTAATTTCCTTTCAATGTGCACAAATTTGTGCACCAGGCCACTAGTTGTGTTATAACCGACTGGCATGCTTCCAAAACACTTGGTCTACAGCAAAGACTCCGTATGCTCTTTGTGGGACTTTTCTGCCAGCAAGTCTTTTCCAAAACTACCAGAGAGCTTCTAATAAAGGGGAAGATTAAGGTAAAGGAGATGCTGATATTCATTTTCCTGAAGTAATTGTCTCCTCTGCACATTTCATCCAGCCTTTTCCAAATGCCAGCTCTGCATAGCAAAAAGTGTTTTTAAGAATCTGTATTTTTTTTAAGCCACAATGTTTTGTTGTACCTTTTCTGCAATGCATTCATATATCTGCTCACATTCAAGTGACGGCTGCTTTCTAATAAATCAACTTCATGCAAGTGTGATATCTTCCTATAACCAAAGGGATGGCTAGTATGATTAATAAAATTATATCTATCTTTTATCACATTTGTTAATATTCTGTTATAAATATTATTTAAGGGAAAATTATTCAGAGGCAAGAGCTGTAAGGGTTTGGGGTTAGAGAATGTCAGGGCTTAAGGTATCATACAACTCACAAACTGACAGCCCAATCCAGTCTTCAGCCAAGGAGCTTGCAGATAGATTTAACTGAGCCAACAAACACCTTTAGGTAGGGCATGCCTTCTCAGTTTTAAATCCCTGTCATGCCCAGTTACCTTATGGCTGACAGCTTCTCTAGTTAGTGGTTTCTCCTTTCTTTGATCTGTAGGTATCTAACGACCTTTGAATTCAGGATCTCTGTTACAGATAAATGCCCTCATTTCACAAATGGGGGAAGTGAGGTCCAACTTGATGGTGTGGCTTATTTGATGACTGGTAGAGTCAAAGGTGGAACCCCAGGCTCCAGATTCTGAGCTTTGAACAATATACTGAGATTCAGAACTCGTGCACATTAAAAAATGAGTTGACAAGGGTTGAGCTCAGAAGCTATGATTCTCATTCCAAAGCAAAAGTCAGTGCATC